TGTTCCAACTCATCAATGCTATTCCTCAAACGTGGTACCCAGAACTAATTACAATGTTGTAGATCTGGTCTGATGAGGTCAAAAGATGGTAGGACCATCACTTCCACTGTCCTGGATATTACATATCAGGCCAAGACCACTGTTTTATATTATTATTATTATTATTATTATTATTATTATTATTTTGTCTGAGCCTGAGGTTCTATCAGTGTAAAGAACTCCCTGGTAAGGAAATTCCATTTATCAATAAAGAGTAACAGCTATTCTACAACTTATAGTCTTAGAGAATTAAAAAAGGATTATAGTCTTAGGGAAAAAAGAGAATAGTTTGGGCAACTGAAAAATTATTTGATTTGCCTAAGAGTCACAGAGCCAGTATGCATTAGATGGAGGGCTTGAACCTAGGTCATTCTGACCCTGAAGCAGGCTCTCTAACCACTAAGACAAGCTATTTCTCCATTGTTATCATCATTATAGTTAATTATTGATGTTGACATTAAAAATGCATGCACATTTTGATTTATTATTTTCTCCTTTATGTGTGTTAGTTATCTCCCTAGCTAAACTGTGATAACTCACATTTATATAGCTTTTTATGTTTACAAAGTGCTTGCTATATTACTGATAATAGTTCAAATTCACATAGTGCTATCCTTACAACCTTATGAGGTAGTACAAGTGAGAAATTCCTCACTTTACAAATGATGAAACTGAGGTTCAGAGATGGAACTGACTTGCTGAAGGTCATTCAAGTGGTTAAGCCAGGACTCATTCAGTCCTGGACTCTAGTCCATTATTCTTTCCATAGTACATCAGGTTGGTTGCTTCCCATTTTGTGGTACCAACATAAGTGCTGGCCAGTCAGTCCGCAACAAACATTTATTAAGTACTCACTAAATAAGTAATTGTGCTAAGTGCTGGGGGCACAATGAAAGGTAAAAACAAATCTTGTGCTCAAGGACCTTAATTTCTAATGAGAGAGATAACTTATAAATAAATAGGTACATAAAAGGTACATAGAGGAAGGTAATCTTAGAAGGGAAGCCTCTAGCAGCTGAGGGGATAAGGAAAGGCCTCCTGTAGAAAGTAGAATGTGAGCTGATTCCTAAAGGAAACTAGAGATTCCAAGAGGTAGAAGTAAGGAGGAAGAATATTCTAGGCATGGGGGTACAACTAGTACAAGAGCACAGAGATAGAAGATGGGGTGAGGTGTTGCAGGGCACAGCAAGAAGGCCAACGAGCTAGCTCATAGAGTATGGAGAGGAGGAAAGTAAAGGATGACCAGAAAGGTGGGAAGAGGCCAGGCTGTGAAGAGCTTCATATGCCAAATGGAGGACTTAACATTTGGGCCTGGAAGTAACAGGGAACCACTGGAGTTTAAAAAATTGGGGTGTGAATGACATGGTCAGACTGGCACTTTAAGAAAATGACTTTAGCAGCTGAATAGAGGATGGATTGGAGCAGGGAGAGGCTTGAGGTAAGAAGACTAGTCAGAAGACAAAGGGAGATCAGTGAGACTGCTAACATTGAGGAAGAAGTAGTACAGCTGTTCCTCATATAGGATTTGGGAGAGTAGTATGAACAAAGGAACAAGAAAAGGAATGAATCTGTATTGTATGGGAACAGGAAGGCCTTCCTGGTGCAAAAAGGAAATGAATGTTGTACAGCCGAGGAGGGGGGGACTGGAGAATGAATAGCTTTAGAAACCCGTAATTTAGAATTCAGGAACTGGAAGGGGGAGCTTAGGGATCACTAAATCCAATACCTTCATTTTAAAAGGAGAGGGATTGAGGTATAGAGAGCTTAAGTATATGATCAGTACCTGATGTAGAGACTGAGGAAGTCATCTCTTCTTACTTTCTTATTCTATAGAAGAGGAAACTGAGGACCAGAAGAACACACTTGTCTGATGTCACATGGTGAGTCATATAGTGACAGTCAAGACTTGAACCTGGCACCCCTGATTTCTAGAGGAGTGGTCTTTCAATTGCATTAAAGTTGTGGGCTATTATAGAAATTGCTATTAAAGTAATTTTAATAATTAAAATTATTAAAAATAACAGTAGTGATTGTCATAGTGATAATATATAAATTACTATAATAATAATAGCTAACATTCATATGCCACTGTAACATTTGCAAAGCACTTTACAGAAACTGTCTCATTTGAAACTCCCAATGACTTTTTGAGGTAAGTACTATTATGGATATATCCCCATTTTACAGATTAGGAAACAGGTTGAGAGTGGTTGGAGTGACTTGTCTAGGGTCCCACCACTAGTAAATAGCATCTTAGGATGAATTTGAACTCGTTTCTTCCTGACTACAAATCCAGCACCCAATCTACTATATCTTCAAAGATGTGTGAAGGCCTAGAAAACTGGTGAGACAAGTTAGGCCTTACAAAAGGTTTGGCAAACTGAATGCTGCAGACAGCAGCTGACTATGGCCACTTCCGCCACATAGAAACCTGAAAAGAAGATGCAGTGGAATTGTTGCCATGGTGATGGACCAGCAAGGAAATGGGTAAGGGTCAAGTGCTTAGAGAAGCCTATTTTGAAATAAGTACATTATATCATTGCCTAAAAAAAAGAACTCATATTTTACCTTTAATGCTCAGGTCCTACTGCACTTGTACCTGGGAAAAGGAATATCAACTTTCCCTTGAATCTACTCTTAGGGCACAGAGCTAGCTGGCGGTAGCTAGAGGTGGGCAGGGTGATCGTGGGCTTGAGTATGTGTGTGGGGGGTTTGTGGTGGCCATGATAATCTATTGAGAAGGAGGAAAATTTCAAGAATCAAGTAGAAAGAGGACCATATTTGGAGTCAAATAACCTGGGTCCAAATTCTGCCCTTCACTAGTTATGTAACTTGTAAGCTTGTCCCTTCCTGTCTCTGGGTCATCATTTTTTCCAATGCAAAACAAGGGGGTTAGAGTATCTGATCTCCAAGGATCCTGTGATATATCCTACCTGCTGCCAAGAAAGTTCTATTACAGAATTTCAGAGTTGGAAGGGACCTCAGCAGTCATACCCAAATCTCAGCTAATTCTAGCTCCATTTGTTACCTTTGTGACCTTAGGCAAGCCAATTAACCTCTGAGCTTCCAGTAACCTCATCTGTAAAATGGAGGGGTTGGATTAGAATCTAGTCACTGGATGATTTTGAAGGCCCCTTCCAATTGTAAATTTATGGACCTGTGATCTTATAATCATGGATATTTCATATATTATTCCTGCAAACAAGTAGACATCTAACATATAAGTGAAGACCTAAAGATATGTGCAACTCTCTAGGTCCCAAGACAGCTCTAGGTCCCAAGAACAGCCTTGTGGTTCTAATGCTTTCTCTCATACTGTGTCCAAGTCTGTCTACCTGCAGCTTCTGTTTATTACTCCTAGTTTTGCCTTCGGAGGCCAAGCAGAACAAGTTAATTCTTTTTCCACACGATAATTCTCCTAGTATCCAGGTAGGTGGCTCTGATGTCTTCCCCCTAAATCACATCTCTTCCAGGCCTCACTTCCCACATTCCATCCACCCATCCTCAAATAACATGGTTTTCAGGGACCTCTAAATGCTGTTGTTGTTCAATCATTTTAATTGTGTCTGACTCTTCATGATCCCATTTGGGGTTTTCTCAACAAAGATACTGGAGTGGTTTGCCATTTCCTTCTCCAGCTCATTTTACATATGAGGAAACTGAGGCACACAGGGTTGAGTGACTTGTCCAGGATCACACAGCTAGTAAGTGTCTGAGGTCATATTTGAATTCAGGGCTTCCTGACTAGGCCCAGCTTTCTATCCACTGCACCATACTCTTTAGCTTATCACTGACCTTCCTAAAATATGGCACCCAGTACTAGGCATATATTCCAGATGGTGTTGACCATGGCAGAAAACAGTGGGAATACCACCTCCCTTATTTATTAGAGATAACTATAGGATGGACTTTCCTGTGAAGTAGAGTAAGATCCTTCTCGCTAAATGCATGCAAGTAAAGGCTGGAATTTTAGAATTGGTATTACATTTTAGGAAGGACATTAACAAACATGGAATGTAAGCTCCTTGAGGGCAGAGACTGTTTCATTTCTGTCTTTGTATCTCTAGTGGTTAGAGCCACCACTAGCATGTAGAAAACACCTAATGAGTGCTTATTGATTGACTAATTAATTAAAAGGCAGTACATCCAAAAGACCATTCCAGGATGGGAAAGGAATCATGCCATGTGAGAATCCATTGATAGAAATGGGACTGTTCACTCTGGAAAAGAAAATACATGATCTTGGTCTTCAAACATTTACAAGGCTGTCATATGGAAGAGGGATTTGGTTTGTTTTTCTTTGTCCTAGAGGGCAGAACTAAGACCAACACGTGAAAGTAGCCATGACATATATCTTGGCTCTAAGACAGAACTTACTAACTTACTAACAAGGCAACAAGCATTTATTAATCTCTTACTACACGTCAGGCACTGTGCTAAGTATAAGGACCCCTATGAAACAACAAAAATTGTCATGAATCCCCTACATGACAGTAGAAGCGCCATTAGTATTCATTGATTGAGAAAATCTTTAATACCAAGATGATGCTTGGTGCACAAATGATTTTATGGATCCCTTGCAATAACTCTGTAAATGCTCAGTGGACTGAGACTCAAAAATTAGGAATCCCTGATATAGAAATGATCTCTGCACAAGTGAAGGGTAGGACTAGATAATTCTAAGGTCTCTTCTAGTTCTGAGATTCTATGATTATAATTACCATCCAAAGCGACCTAGTTCAACCTTCTACCCAGTGCAGGGACTACCCATATAGGCCTCCTGATGGGAGGCAATCCATCCTCAGATGAACTCCTTTTATTCTGGACAACATGACGAACAGTCATTGGGGTCTAGGGGCACTGAGTCCCAGCCTTTTGGGTCTATTCCACTTCAGCAGGAATAGAGCGGGTATAAAAAGAGAATTCTTTCCTGTTCCTCTGGGCCGCTGGTGCCAACTTACCTCTAAGACCCTGCCACTGATATAACGGTCACACGTCTCACACTTAATGCCAAACTGGGAATGGTAATCAGTCTCACAGTAGGGTACTCCATCCCTGTTGGAAGAATTCATGTAAGAAGAGAGGATGAGAGGAAAAATCAAAAGAAAACAACATATATGGAGTACTAGCTTTGGTCTTCCTTTCAATTTTTCAGTCCTTCCCTCTACCCCGATGTGTTTACAGATGCCCACCTGTCCCTTTGTAGGCTTTTCATTACTTATAAGATGCTCAATTAACCAAGAGTTCTTTTAATGTCCTTTAAGGAGAAGCAACTAGCTGAAGGCCCTAGAAACAAGGGCTGAAGGGGGTGAGATATATTCCCTTTCTCCTTATAATTTCCAAATTCTTTCCCATTCTTTAGTCCTTTATTCCCTCACCCTGCCCTCAGGCATTCTTCCACTTCCAGACTTTGTCCTAATTTTTCATACTGCCTCAACAGAGGCCAAGGCCAGGAAAGCTAGTGGTCACCCTAGAGGCTTCTTGTTAAATAACATAGACTGAAGGAGAGGAAGGCAGAGACACTGGCAAGTGACGGTCCAGGGAGATCCAGTGGGGACAGAATAGTTTCCTGTGCTACAATTCCATGTCTAATACCAATTTCTTGGTTTTCATAGTTGGCATAGTTTCTTATTTGGAGATAAGTTGGCACCAGCAGCCAAGAAGAGCAGGATTTAACTTAACAGGATTCTGGACTTAGAAAGTTTATTTCAAAATGGGCACTGTTGTTAAATCCTTTTTAATATGATTCTGGCTAATATTATAATATATAAGGATGGTTTAATGGGGAGATTAGAATAATGAAAAGGAGTCTGAATTAAGAAATCAGGAGACCTGGGCTGGAGACCCAACTCTACCACCAGCCTTCTCTGAGACTCTAGGTGAGCCATTTCCCCTTCTCTGGGCCTCAGTTTCCTCCTCCATAAAATGAGAGTTATATTAGGTGATCTCAGATAATCCTTTCAGGTCTAATGCTCCATGGATTAGTCATTGTTGTTACTGGATCCACCTATGGGTTTGAGAAGGGCTGCAAAGAGTAGTGCAATGCATCTCTGTTAGGTGCCTTGTAGTGACTGACAACCTCAGTGGAGCCTGGAGCTTGGCCTGAGCATTGGACTGGACCAGACCCCTGGAGTGGATTTTCCCTCAGCTTCCAAGTAACCTAGAGCATAGTCCATAGAAGGTCAGAGCTAGACAGCTAGAGCTAGGTCGGCTAGAACTGACAACGTTAGGCTGTCTGAACCAGTAGGGATTTGAGAGCATAGAATATCTTAGAACATAGACTGTTAGAACTGGAAGGTCTTCAGAGACCATTTAATCTAATGCCTTCACTTTACAGAGGAGGAAACTGAGGCTCAGAGGGTGAAAGTTCACAGCAATTTAGTGACACAGTTAAGGCTCCAACCCGGGGCTTCAGGGAGTGCTACCTCCTTCCCTGCTAATCCTCAGCATCTGTCTATCCACCCAGATCAGCCTCCTAGGTCTGGAAAGACCCATTGACCTTGAGGTCCCCTTGGGATAGGCAGGTCACTTGGAGTGGGGGAGTCAGACACCCACTTGCTAATATACTCCCCAGTGAGGACAGCCCCGCAGGTTTGGCATTTGAAGCAGCTGACATGCCATTGCTTCTCCAGGGCCAAGAGAGACTGGCCATGTTTGATCTCCTCCTTGCAGCCAGCACAGTCTGGAAAGATAAGGAGACACCACTGAAAGAAACATTCAGGGTCCCCACCGCCTTTTTTCCCATCAGATTACTATTGCATTTGTAATGATAAGAACATTTCATATCACATGCTTTTTACAGTGTTCAACTTATTATGAGGGGGAAGGAGAAAAAGCATTTATATAGCCCTCACTATGTGCCAGGCACTGTGCTAAACACTTTACAAATATTATTTTATTTGATCCTTGCCACAGCCATGTGAGGTAAGTGTTATTATTATCCCCATTTTACAGTTGAGGAAACTAAGGCAAACAGAGATTAAATGACTCACCCAGGGTTACACAGATAGTAAGTGTCTGTCTGAGGCTAGTTTTGAATTTGGCCTTCCTGACTCCAGGCCCAGTATTCTATCCACTGT